TTAAAATTTTTTTTTTTTTTTTATAAAAAAAAAAAAAAAATATATATATATATATATATATATATATATATACATATATATGAGATTTTATGTAGCCAAAAAATAAATGATTATTATGCAAAAATAACAAAGATAAGATATTTATTATATCATTTAACAGGTTCACAAAAGTCACCACGATCACGAAGGCAGCGCACTACTAGCATGTCACAATCAAGTAAGAAGACATCTGCAGAATCTATCCTCAGGAGTAAAACGCGAACTATTTATACAGCTGGTAGACCTCCTTGGTATAATTCAGCTGGTCAACAAGTAGAACCATTTGTAATTGGTTAGTAACATTTATTGTTAATTTAATTAAGATGATTTTTAATTTATAACTTGATAAGTGATTAAATTTTTTATATAAAACAAGTATAAATTTTGATTACTAATAAATATAATTGCAATAGGTATTTGTGGTGGCAGCGCCTCGGGAAAAACCACAGTGGCAACTAAAATCATAGAATCTCTAGATGTACCATGGGTGACCCTCCTCAGTATGGATTCCTTTTATAAAGTGCGTTGAATATTTTAACTAATAATTATTTATTAAAAATATCTTTTTGTACGGCTTAATAAATTTGTTACTAGCATGATAGAAGACAATTCAATAATATATAACTGTAGACACTATTGAATATTTATCTTATAGGTATTAAACGAGAAGCAGCATGAGATGGCTGCACACAACGAGTATAATTTTGATCATCCTGATGCATTCGATTTTGAACTTCTCAAGACTACGTTGCAGCGTTTAAAGGAAGGACGCATGGTAGAAGTTCCTATTTATAATTTTGTAACACATCGTAGAGAAAGTAGAACGGTAAGTTGATTTAATTGCGGTTTTCACAATATGTAAGAAATCATCGCAACTTATACAATGTTTTTCTTGTTTGTTCGAAAGAAAACCATGTATGGTGCCAACGTCATTATTTTTGAGGGAATACTTACTTTTTACAACGTCGACGTCTTGAAGGTAAATCGGTAAAAAGATAAATTAATTTAAAGATTGGGAAAATATATCGAAAAAGAGTAAATAGATAAACATTTCATCAAGCTGTGCGATATGAAAGTTTTCGTCGATACTGATGCGGACGTCAGACTGGCCAGGCGTTTACGAAGAGATATTTCACAAAGAGGCAGAGACCTGGAGGGTGTATTAAAGCAGTATAGTAAACATGTGCAGCCGGCTTTTTATTATTACATAGCACCTCTTATGGCCCATGCAGATATTATTGTGCCGCGCGGAGGAGAAAACGAAGTGGCAATAGAGTTAATTGTACAGCATGTTCATACTCAACTTCAATTGGTAAATTGTTAGCTTTTATTTTACATTTTAATGTCAAATTATTATCAATGCTAACAATCTCTGTGCGACTTTCAGCGAGGTTTCAAATTGAGGGAAAAACTGGCGCACTCGTACATAGGTCAGCCATTGCCTTCATCTTTGTACTTACTTCCAGACACGCCGCAGATAAAAGGTCTTCATACATTTATACGAAATAAGGAGACCTATAGAGATGAATTTATTTTTTACTCTAAACGCTTGATTCGTCTAGTCATTGAATATGCGTTATCTTTGTTGCCTTTTGAGGTAAATACAGATGTACATAAACATGATATAAATATTACATAAATGTTGTTCAATACAAATATTTGTTTAATTCATTTTTATCGCAACTCTAAATATAGACCAAAATATTTTAATTAATTTTATTATAATTTTGTGATTTTTATAAGAATCGTAAGTCTCTAACTTCTGGCACGTGTTATAATGTATCATTTTTATATGAAGGATGTGACTGTCGAAACACCACAAGGAGTATTATATAGCGGTAAACGAGGTGCAACGGACAAAATATGCGGTGTGTCGATATTACGCGCCGGTGAGACTATGGAGCAGGCTGTTCGAGACGTGTGTAAGGACATACGCATAGGAAAAATTCTCATCCAAACTAATCAGCAGACTGGCGAGCCTGAAGTAAGCACTCGAAAATTTTTCTTTCATAAGTCTACTCTTGATCGAAGACCGATAATTCATTTAAATTCTTGTATCTAGTTGTATTACCTCCGATTACCAAAGGACATCAAAGATTATAGAGTAATATTGATGGATGCTACCGTTGCGACTGGTGCTGCTGCTATTATGGCGATCAGGGTACTTCTGGATCATGATGTTGCTGAAGAAAATGTACTGTTGGCATCATTGTTGATGGCCGAATCTGGCGTACATTCAATTGCCTATGCCTTTCCGCGAGTGAAGATTGTCACCTCCGCGTTGGATCCCGAGATAAATGAGAAGTTTTATGTACTGCCTGGTATCGGTAATTTTGGCGATAGGTATTTTGGCACTGAACCATCTGATGATTAAAGTGATTTATAGATCTCTATTTAAAGTTCTTATATTCGCTACGTTGTGTAAATTGTGATACAAATGCAGATATCAATAATCTATCATATCTTTAGCAAAAAAAATTAACATTTCTATATGTGCCTTGTCCTCATTACAATTTTATCTCATATATACTTATGACATTTAACTTAAAACTAGCTATCGTGTTGCTATTTTATATACGATACTGGCTTTTCTTTAAATGTCAATTTATGTTCAAAGAGAAGTTGTGCCAACGCCACCGGTTTCCGCGATATCGGCGGCAGTGCCACGTAATTGTCTATAGCCTCGTGCACTAGCTCGATGCGAGCGTCTCCACGAATCTAAATTACCAGTTGGGTTGCTTGGTTGACTCAAAAGATACGTTATTAAACGATCCAATGCGATCAAATCTTCACTTGTATTACCGGAATTCAAGCCTTTATGTGATTGTAGATTTCCATCTATTATTTCTTCATTGTTTTCACTGTCTTTTATGTTACCTCTGCCTCCTGTTCCGCGAGCAGGAAGACCAAGCCGAGGACTAATCTACAATATTATTTAAAAATATTAGAAGTAATAAAAAATATAGTAATAATTTAGAGATATTGTTATAACAATATATAAATTATTATAAATATTATAAAATATTTAAATTTATATATGATATTAATGTAATACCTCTTCCGGTCCGTGCCCATAACTGAGTCTTTGTACTTTTCTGAAAGTTTCGTCATTTATCGCTTCCCTGACTGCTTCGTTTAGCGTACGTTCTAATGCTCGTTGTTTAGTTTTACTCAATCCATCGTAGAAACTAGTTCAAATGAGAATATTAATAGGGGTCATTTTTGATAAGGGATCATTATATTTTTAACTAATTATAACATATATATATATATATTTACATTATTATTTATATAGATAGGATAAACTCACAAGTATAATTATTTTACCTTGAATTCAAAGAACTGTTATCTCTAGAGATATTCTTATCGCGAACCAGTCGAATGTCGTGTTCCCAGAATCGACGCAGTTCCGGTGTTGACGTATACGGTGCGGCCACTTCTTTAATCTGCGGTTATAAATGACTCTGATTACGACGAAAATAAAAATAACGTATAAAAGTGGATTATTATATTTATCAAAATCGGTGCATTTGTCGCGATGTAATTTGCCGAACTCAATGGCGGAGTCGTAATTAACGGCATCAGTATATGTTGTGTCGGTGACGTAATAATACGGGATGCAAATTACAGCCGCAATTTGCGATTGTTCATTAACGAGCAATATAGCGTGCTAACTTTAATTACCTTCAAGACTATTATCGCCGTAATAAAGATGCACATTACATTGATAAACGTTAGACACGCGCTGATAATGCCGTTGCAAAAGAATTCTACAGGCAAGTAATCGCTGTAGATATACGTATAGGAGCTATTAAAGTTTGTATAAGATTCGCCTTTAATATGTAGCATTTTTATTGGTCGATATAGAAGCCATATACATCCCAAAGCCCAAAATAAGCCCTGCAAAAAATAAAATAAAATTTTTACTTCGATTAATATAATTACATATTTTATTACATTAATCATTGTTATCCAACAAAAAAGGAGAGAAAACATTTCTAAAAAAAACACACATCTATAATTATTACATAGACAGCATAGACTTTACTTTTATATGGTATCACTATTGTTCTCTTACGCAATTAACGACTGGCGGCAGTAATGAAGCTGATATGGCAACACCAATTAACGGCCCATTGCTGCCTTGCAGCAAAGCGACCGCTACACCTGTTCCAGATGGAAGAGCCCAAAGAACGCCCATCCAACACGATCTATAGTTGCCTCTATAGAGAGAGATTGTTATTTTAAAATAAAATTTCTAACTATATTTGAATTTATATAATTGAAAGCTATATGCAATCTATTGCGTTATTGACAGTAACATATCCGATCAGTGATATCCACCTGCCCTTCATTTCATCAGTTGGCCAGTCGCCATAACCCCAAGGCATTTCAGTTGTACCCAGGAGAAGACCAAATATGAAGCCAAACAGTATCGATAAGAAGATACCGAGCATCAAGCTCTTCAGACCGACCAGTTGTAGGTCTCTATCGGCTATGATCGTCCCGAAAGTCAGAGACATCACAGGTCCCTTTGATCAACGAGACGATCAAAAGTGTAAAGTGACATGCAAACAATGTTTAACGACTAGCAAAGTTGCATTAAAAGGTTTTACCATGAGAGGAGAGACAAGCATGGCTGCAACGACATTAGTTGCACTGTTCTCGACGAGACCAAGTGCAGCGAGACAACTGTAAGAGCAGTTTTCAAAAAATTCATTATTATTAATACAAACTTATATATTGTGGCAATGTAAAGTGAAGATTATGTTTAATATTCTACAATGCCTTCTTTACATATAATATCTTGACAGTATATTAATAAGGATCAAATATAAATTGCCAAATGAATAGTATGAATTTTTGTGGTAATATTAGCGAGGACTACTCTCTTATGGTCGTCGAACGAACACTTACCAGAAATCTGCCTTAATTATTTATTTAAGTATAATACATATAAAGATAATAGAAAAATAGTCTGTGGCTTCTTACTCCGCGGTTAACACTAGGCACACGTAATCGAAGGTAAGATCACCGCCACTTCGAACGCCGTCGACCACCTGTTTCACCGTCAATTTCGATCTAATAGATCCTACGAAATCATCCCAAGCGTTCTTACGGTCCTCCGATTCTTTCCGTCTGAATAGCAGGAAATGCATGTAACATATTTTCACTTTTATGCTAATCAGCAAAAATCAATTTAAAAAACCTGCGAGCAACGTCGTCCTTGACAGCCAACGATTTTGTTCCGTTCACACCGCTGTACGTACATTGCGTCGGGATTACGCTAAAAATAAAAAATCAATGGCCAAAGTCATGACTTGAAACGTACTGCGGCACTTGTTCGTGCGATTTCTTTAGTTCAACGTAAAATCACCTGACTATCGAGTTCATTTTAACACCAATACCCAACTCGGTGAGGCAATGTATACAATTTTCGCAGGGTTCACCGGCGGGTACCGGAAATATCACCTTCCACCAGAAAGCTTTGTTTGCATACATCATTTGGAAATATATACCATACATACGAGAAATATGATTAATTCGGGCATTATACATAATGGCCGATCAATATGCATAATGCCCGAATCAATTAATTTCCCGCATATAGATAGGAATCCGTAACTTTCATCGTACCTCATAATACATATCTTCCTTGTCCTTGCACCACACGACGTGCTCTACTCTTAGCTTTTTAAGGAGCTCTTCCAGTACCTGCGTAAAAGCAAACCTCATAAGTTAATAGGAATGAATATATTCGTAATTAAATTGAAGAAAGAAATATTCGCAAAGAAAATCCTCATTTTTTAAAGCAAGTTAATAAAAAAAAGTCAATCTTAAAATAAAACTATCTTAAAGTTGAATAATTAAAGAGAAACGTGAAATCTATAATTACAATTACAGATATATGTATATCTGCTTAATAAGTACAATAAACTTTTTAATATAATTTTGATAATTAATATTATTTTTTATATCTTCGTAGTCTATGTTTTATTTTCTTATGTATATTGTAATATCTTCTATATTATTATATACTTTACCGTTTCCATCGACACAAAGACCGGTGATTTCGATCGCGTGGGATATCCACGAGCGTGTTTCCTACTATCAACGCCAACATCAATGCCGATGTCGTTGTCATTGTTATTACCATCATCATCGAGCGTGAGTAATTGCGGACGGTTTCTTGTTTCCTTTATACGAAGGTCCACCTTTGGTCCACCTGCGATTTTATTTTTGCTCTTTTCGATCTTCTTCGAGCTTTTCACCGGCACACCGAATACAAGTTCGTGCTCGTAGCTCAAAGTGGGAATACAGACCAGAAATACAACACCCCCGGGCATGTTGTTTCGTGATCGACTTTGTTATGCGAAAATCACTTGCGCGATCTGTCTCGTGTGATCATCAAAGCTGTTCTGCCTCGATTTCGTAGAGCGATCATCGGAAGATCGAAGATGCAATTCATTCATCAACTAACGATAATTACTTTATTGCCTAGTTCATAATTGTTCTGTGTAGTAAAGACGACTTAAGATGTTATTTTCAGACGGTCGTGACCGTCGAAATGTTCGAGGTTCAAACATGGAAATATTTTTGCTTGAAAATAAAAAATTTGAGGAAGAATATAATTACAGAAACATTCATATTAACTTTTATTATTTATCTTTTTAAGAAAAAAAATATTAGTGAAAAAGAACAAGAGATAGTTGATACAGTTTTTAGAATTTTAGAAAAAAGTACGTCGAGATTTTCCAAAAGTCAAGTGTCATTATTGGCGAGAATAATCTTTAAGGAATTGGCAGATAAAGAGGTAAGAGATTATACGCGCGAAATAAAAATGTCAAATGTAATAGTGTTTTAAGAAATAAACATTTATTTCCTTTTTAACAAATCAACAGCGTAGAGACTAGCACCTAGAGACTAGTCCGACATTTTTTATCCGGTCTAAGTAACTAAAGGCCGCGAGGAATATTCCATGCGAGGGGAACTTCCAAATCTGTGCGAAATCATTTTTATTTATCGTCACAAAAAACTTCCCGTGTTTTTCTCTGTTCTTTTTTTTTATAAAGCAAACTTATACCCTGTCACCCTTACGTAGATAGAAAAGTGGTTCGGTATCAGAGATCGCGTACGTTAAATTAAGTACTGATCCGTATTACGATGCATTTATAAGGAAGTATAAAAATCACAGGGTCCCAAAGAGCCATGAGGTAATTGTTAAAAGTTAAAGGTTCAAGAGTCTATTGAAAATCTAAGCTAATTGTAGCAATAATAAAATTGGTATTTACTGTTATAAGTGTCGCGAAAACAAATATAAAAAATGAGGTATGTTGCTTTTATAGCTGAACCTTATTTCGCACGATTCATCGATCTTTTTTCCCTATTTTCCCTTGTATAGATAAAGGAAAGGAGAAAAGATGAACTGTGCAAGACACATTCAACTGAAAAGAATAGTTCTAAGGAAGATAACAATTTCTGCAGTAATATACCTACAATAAAAAAATATTTAGGACGGCTGATGACAAGGTTTCACTATTTGAGGCGATCCCACTTCTTAATTTCATTCTCTATTCTCGATTCGTATTTTGATGGTAATCAAAATAAGTCTCCAACTATCAAAAGACTCTGTTGACAAAGTTCCCCTCGAAACTAGCAAGAACTCGACGCTTTCGATTTTCGCCCGCGCCGAGCGATGGCTATAATTGCATTATTAATTATTAGTAGTAGAACTAGTATAATCACATACTAGCGATAGTAACAAGTGTAACAATAATAACTAGAATACCGAATGGTCTAGTGGTCGCGCTCCGCGCCTCGCCCTCTCTCTCTCTCTCTCTCTCTCTCTCTCTCTCTCTCTCTCTCTCTCTCTCTCTCTTTTCTTTCTCTCTCCACTGACGAAATAATACTAAACGATAACAAAAATAGTGAGGATGAGAATGCTGCTGAGGATGATGAGAATGTCGAACAATCTAGCGTATCTTCTCTAAGAAAAACCGTATGTACATGCTTCTGCGGCGGCTTTTAATCGCTAAATATTGACCAAGCGGTGCCGTGGCCGCGCGATATCAACAATGTATTATAACAATGTATTATCATACACCAGGCACCATGTTACTCACGAGTATCCGCTTGCTGGAAAGATATTTTAAGGCCATGCTCGAAGGGAGAGCGGCGCGCCTGTACGCACCTCTCTCGTCTGGTTCTACGCAATTGGTAGTTGCATCGTCGATGACTGAACGTCGTGTAACCATTCGCGCTTGAAAGGAATTAATTCTCCTAAATTCAGCTGGGGATGCGTCGCTACAGGATGTCATCTACGTATACCGCGACGTGCTGTGTTACATGCATGCGTCAGAACCACGATAACGGGACTATTAACGATATAATGCATCTAATGTTGGACTGTCGTCGTTTACGAAGCTGTGCGGCCAGACTATCGACTTAACAAAGATTTCCTCGAATGATTAACGAATACGCAATTTTCTATCATTGGAATCATCTTTCATTAATTTCAAAAGCGCATGACAGAGATATATGAGTCATAGTATCTATATAATTGACAATTCGATGAGTGTGAGAGTTTGATGTGAGAAATGAGTGTTGTTCAAAATCTTGTGAGAGAAAGAATAAAAGTATTTCTTTTATCAAGCGACGTGGAGATACAAGTTAAATCTTCTTTATAGAATATGATATCATAAAATAGTTTAGAGATTACGTGAATTATTTTATTAGAAATTAAATTATTTTTACCTGAAATGACATTATAGCGCAAGTTTTTCTCATTATCCTACTGGCAGAATTACGTTCAGAATTTATAGTAAATTGTGGCAGCGACTTATAAGTTTTAATCCGACTTTATATGTAATTTTCTACTAAGTCGATTAGTCTGACCGTAAGCTAATCGCCAAGTACGCAACAGCGATGATCATCGTCTAATCCAGTCCCGAGAGAAGGTACTCGTGGTAAATCTTGGGACATGCTGGCGGCGCATTTAACGGCGACGCGCAACAATTCTTACAACACAAACACACTTTTATCGATAGCACCGACAATTTTGCGCCGATGATGACGACGTCGACGACGGTAACGTACAAATCGTCGGCGTCCAAGCACTTTTATAGTCCTTATAAGGCCACAATTCCAAGACGTCTTAAAGACGGATTTAGAAAGAAGCCCTTGCTCTTGACAAGCGCCTTCTCGTTCTCGCGAATGCATTCACGCGGCGTGTAGAAGGAAATAGAAAAACAGCGATCTCCATCAAATTTCAACACGCATTCCATTTTCTTACGAATTGGCGAGAGCTAGATCTCGCGAATACCGAATGCCAAACTTGAATAGAAGATCGTTCATTCCAAAGAGATTCATCATTTTTTCGCATTACCATTGCGCAGAGAAACTTGTCATAATTAACTTTTTAAAAGAATATCTTTTCTTCTTTTCCCTCTTCTCGCGTAATCTGATCCAGATCTGACGCAAAATTTTCCCGTCTTCCTAAATATTTCTCCTCGTACAAAATTCAATCGAAGGCGATTCGATGCGTTTTTCGCAGTCTCTCTTCGCACAGAGTCATTTCTCCCGAAATCTATTCATCGCAACGTCTAGTTCGTCTTGTTTCGCGTATTTATGAAGCGTATTAACAAGATTCAGGCCGAGAGATTAACGAGATTCAGGTTCGCGAGATGCCCCCTGCAGAAGGCGGCTCGTCAAGGGCAGATCTTCTCAAACGGGGGCACTAGGTCGTCGCAGGAGCGAAGTGAGCAACGAGTGTCGTGGTGGTCGTCGGAAGGGCCGACGACGTCGACGCTCGACGTCCGTGAAGGAGGACGGTCGCTCCTCTGCGACGGTCCCCAAGGGTCAAGCCCTCTCCTCTTCTTCGTCCTCCACATCCTCTGACGATTCCGACGTAGAAGAGGCGATCAGAGCGGTCGACAGGGTCGGCATCTGGGCGGGCGAGCAGGCGAGGGAATTAAGGCGTACTCTCTGGACATTCCAGCAGTCCGGTAAGGAGTGAGATCCGTCGTTCACCGCTTTGTCCACCGAGCGAGCTCGGTCGGCGAAGCCGAGCTCCATCATTGACACCCTCCTCGCGGGTACCCTCCTCGGGTTGCCTGCGGAAAGGAAAACCAAAAGTGTTACTTATTTGCGAGGAAACCGCGGTTTACGAATAGCGCTTTGGCCGCGATTATCGGTGTCTCTTTGATTCCAATGTGTTTGGAAAATATTTAGAATACATTCTAGTCTAGAAAAAAAATCGATTTTTCTTTTTCATATTTTTAATATTTAAGGTCTCTCGGAAATAAGTCCCTAAAAGCTTTTATCGATAAAAAATAATAGGAACATATAGATGTTTTTAACTTGTTTTAGAACACGTTGTTTAAGGCACTCTGTCAACGCGCTTAAAGGTAGCTGTTATCAAGCAGGAAAAAAAATGAAAATGTGAACATTTCGAATTAAAGGAGAGTTTATTGTATAATCCTCTGGTATCGCCGATTAGAGGTAAAGAAGTAAATTTTCATTTTTTTAAATAAATAATACAGGTCCGTTTATCGCATAAATTAAGATTATTGCAATATCTGTAAATTAATTATTTTTTCATATTTGTTAAATTCAAAAGTTGATTTAAAAGTCGTTACTTGTTTTTCAAAACCACATTATTTTAATACAATTTGGAATATTTTCCATTTATCCTAGTTCGGATTATAACCACATTCATAGTAACCAAAAATTATTTTGATTTCGTTAGTTTTAATTAAGTTGGAAAGTAGCGAAATGTCAATGCCGACATATATTTTTATATACTGTACTTAAATTTATGTAACATAAAAACTAATACACATTTAGCCATTAAAATTTAGAATATATTTGTTAGATACGTAAATAAATGTTGTTGAAAAATGTGTGTAGGAATTTCCTTTAAAATTTCTCAAAAATAAAGTCATTTTTTTACGCTTGACTAGAATATTCCTTATCATAATTAGTTCCGATAAAAAAAAATGTTTTTATCTTATTGTTCTCAAATAATGTTTTCTTTTTCTGCTAAAACCGATATTTTAGATTAAAAAAATATTTTATTTCAAAACTTTTAATACACATTCATACATTTTATAAGTGAAATAAAATAATAAAATTGGTAATAATAAACTTTAAACTAAGAGAGAGAGAGAGAGAAAGAGAGAGAGAGAGCGTAGACACTAAATATATTTATTAAAAACCAGTTTCTCCGCCACGGGGCTACCGCTAATATGACAGCAAACACCAATATCTTTATGATAAAAACATAAAAACTAAAAAGTGATTAACAACGATGAATAATAAGTGAAAAATTAACAAGTTTATGATTTCAATTACTTTTGCTACATAACACTATTAAACAGAGTAAAAATTGTATGGATTTATGACAAACGAATTAGATTCCTATAATATAGATTGTAATTTATGCATGCAGTCTGTTCTCGAAACAATATTTCTTCCATAGCAAAACGACGGTTAGCACGTTGTGGGCACTGGCGTGTCGATGCTCATTTTGCAATTGCTCACAAAAATAGCAACGGACGTGTAACGCAACGTGAGTGACGTTCGCCACAACACGTATTAAAAAATAGCATACTTCAGTGCTTCTCAATGTTTTGCATTTTTCGCTTGATCACTTTGAACATAGTCGTTATATATCATCTAGTCATTTTGAAACATTATTTCAGAACGTATGAAAGAACTCTTTTTTTATATTGGCGATATATGTCGCCAAGTATTCGAACCTTTCTCCATGCATTGAAAACGTTGGAAGGGAGTGTAGAATGTAAATTGAATAATCCTTGTCTTGGTATGCGTGAAAAAAGAGGGGGAAAGAAAAGAAAAAGAAATGAAAATGAACCACACGTACCCTCCTTCTGCTATGCGTCACGTACCCTTGGTTTTCGCGGGGGAATCCATTTCTGCGGGGGTGTACTCGTCCGTCTCGTCCACCTCGTCGACGGTCTCCTGGCAATCGATACTGTCGGGCGTGCACACGCTCTCGCGTCGAAATAGGCCAATCACGGATTGGACTTTCGGTTGTTCGATCCCACCTGAAAAGCGGAAAGACATAACGAGCATGAGGAAATACCGCCGGGAATAAATAGGCAGGCAATGAGCGATTTCACGAGTCGAAAGTTTTCAGAGAGTTGTTAATCTTCTTAAAGGAAAATTGACTTACAGCTGTTGTGACGGTCTATTGGTTTTCATATTCGTTACTCTTTTATGGAAAAAAAAAAAAAAAAAAAAAAAAAACCCGAAGAAACTTTGATGGTACATTAATATTTGACAGCTGATTGATTTATCTTGTTTTTTCCCTTTTCTCATTTTTTTTTCTTTTACCTAAGAAAGTGGCAGAGGGCGAACTGTAGGCAAGGTATTCTTTATTGGAACACCAAGCTGGAAATTCGTGCTGTTTGATCGGATGACCCGATTCGTAATCGTCCTCACGTTTCCACGGTAACATAGTTTCCGTAGCCGTAGGGGTGGTTACTCTGTAGCCTTCCGCACCTAGGTCAAATACCGCACAAGACAATAGTAACAGGAGTAACGGAATGAAAATTAAGACCGTTATAATTTCGGCGGATGCAATTTTTGATGCCATAAACACGAAAGTCCACCGAAATTATATCGATTTTAAAGCCTAATAAAATAACGAACGTTCGAAAAATCATGATCACCAATATAAAAAAGACGCAAAGAGAGAAAATGTGATCACAGTAATACAAGAGCAACGCCTGGTTTGGATAATGCTGAAAAATAGAAAAAAAATACGCAGAAAGGAAAAGAACGATTCGTAATAACACAAAGCCAATGCTTGAACACTCTTTCTTTTTCTCATTTTGCAAACGTACCGTCGCGTCCTATTTTCAAGTCTCCTTCGTCCGTATTTATTGTGTCCATCGACGTAGTAGCGGTGGTAGCGTGTTGATTGTCCGCGTTTACATTCGGTGAATCTTCCGTTTAAAGATTTTAAGCTCTATTAGTCGTGACTCTTTTCAAGAAGATAATTCAATAACTATACGTGTATACAACAAATTGTAAGAGATGTAATCTTCGCTATATAAGAGAAACCAAGGTCTATTCTAATCGTTTTCATCGTCGCATTCGTCAATACACCTATATTTTTAACTTCAATTTTATTTTTCAATTCAATTCGATTTAGTAAGTTAGAGAAAAGTTTTCTTACCGGACGTTCGCGCGGTGAACGTGATCGCTGAATCCCAATCCTCTTTGCTGGAGGGCTTTGAGGTTTCTCCGTTTTCTAACTCATACAGCACGCCATTGATGTAATCTGTGCAAGATAATTCATTAAAAAAAAAAAAAAAGAGAAAAAATTACGGAACTCTGAAGCACAATTAATTATCCACAACGTTTTGCACGTACCTTGCGTAAATAGCTTCGTCGAGCCGTTCTGCTGTTGAAATTCTGGGAAACTAACATGATTCTGTTTGCCGTCCTATACAATTGAAATCGATAAAATGGAAAGTCAAAGACGCCGAAATTAAATATGACAAACGATCGAGACATTGATCGATTCTTACTTTGAGCAACTTTTTGCTGCGTTTATGGCGATGCTTGTGCTCTCCCATCATCCGTCGAATATTCATGTGCATTTTATAATTGACTTGTGTCGAGAGATCACGATCGTTCACCGCGTGTCGACTGTAGCTCAAACGTCGATGCTAAATAATATAGTGTTTGTAGAAAATTTTTAGACGTTTTTAAATATAATAGAATATTATTAGAATATGCTACTGATACATTTTCTAATTACAGTTTCTTTGATGAATTTAAAATAAACTTCTTTAACAAAAGAAGTACTGAAATATCGATTTGGAAATTAGAAGCTAGCCTTGTGCAACCCTGAATAAGATTAAAAAAAATATTTTTACTCGAGATAAATTAATTTAATTTAAAGTTTGTCAGAAAATATGGCTAAAAATTTAATAATAGAAGGATTACTACTTTATTAAATATATAGGTATATTATGTAATAGATGATATATCACGAGCAGACTTAGAATTTGGAGAAAATCTAGACTCAGCCATAATCTCTTACCCTTTTGTATGGTTTACAAAGCTCTTCGGCGAGCAGATGGTGAATTCTCGCGTCCGTTAGGTCTTTTTTGGAAGGATTGTACTCCAGTTCCTGCAGATCGATATTCCATCCCGTTTCGAGCTGGCTGCAGCTGGGACTAGAGAGAAAAAGAATGCGATTAGACTGCGCTTTTATTTTATCAACGACAATTGTCGGCGGCGAACACGGGGATTCCGCACCTTCCATTGAATTGTCCGGTATTGCTGTAATTACGGAATATCGCCGACATACTTTCGGTGCCGCTAATGTTGCCGATAGTGGAAGCATTTCTTCTTATGTAATCTAACGCATCCTTCATCGCCAGCTTCGAGTAAGTTTCCAGAATCTTCGGCTCGGCGCCGCAATGATCTTTCACGAGATAAGGTCGGATGAATTTATTGTCGAATCGCTTGAATCTAAAGCAAACCAAGACAGATGATACTTTTATTATCAGAGAGAGGGAGTGAATAGAAAATATAGAAAAGAACATTACGGTAATTAGACGATACGAGTATAATCTATAATTTACGTCATACATATTTAATTATACTTTTCATCTTTATAAAAAATGTACTTGTATTTTTTTAGACAAAAAAGAAGGATATAAATCTGTCAGTCTAATCTTGCTTCTGTTTATTATTTTACTCTAAATCATATCGATTCTCGTCTGACAACGTTCGTAACGTCATTGAGTAAACACGAAGGTATGACTAAGCGTCTTACTTATCTCGGACGTGATAGTTGCCGTGTTTTCCCAAAATGTCCTCGATACCCGCCATCGTATGATCTATTATCTAAGAATTAAGAGACAGACGTTATTCATCTTGCAATTCGACGAGTAGCACAGGCGTCACAAATCCGCCAGGATTTGCCACGTATACGCGGGCAAACGCAAACGCAAGCAGAATGATGTATCAAAGTCCCGGTAAAAATTGCCGCTATATACACATTCTGTAATGCGGCTTGACAATGACGAACGTTATCCTATTTCACAATTCGACCCTATTCTTCATAACGTACGGCTCTGTCGTTCCATTAAAAAGAAATACGTCGTAACTGGGATTCGAAGTAATATGCTCCGTTATCGTCATATATCTGCGATTGAACGATATCATCGAATTTTTACACACATCTATTCTGCGCTCGCTTTGTTTCCTGCAATTTCCGGATTACAGCTATATAGCGACAGCGAATGACCACCGAAGTGTATAAATTCGATCGCGCAACGTACCCTCTCGTGGATTCTCTCGTTCATCGTCGGCTTTCTCTTCTCCGCCCGTTTGACATTGAGGATTTTGACGAGAGGTTTGATGGTGATTCCCTAAAAAGAAGAACCGCGTTTACATGAGCGTTATCGCGAGCGAACTCACAGACCTCCAAAAGAGGCGTTTCTATAACGTCCTCTAAACGTCTTAAACATATACGCTTCCCCAGAATATGTCTCTCGGATAAAATATGCTGTATGAGAACAAGCGGATTATCGGTCGACGTCGAGTAAAGCAACGCGCGGCTGATAAAACGCTTGACGCAAAAGTGTATTATGCTCAAGTGTGAGCGACATAGAGATATTAGGTTTCCGATCGATCGCGCGACAAAGCACACGTGCAGAGCCGAGCTTTTTTTGCGGCTGACATCTTTGCATCGTCGCTTATTAGTCGTTGATTAAACGGACGATCATCCGTGGTGGGCGAGATCACTATAATCTTCCCCCTCACCGTTCTTCTCCGTTCCGATGGAATATAGTATCGTCTCTTTATTTCGCTCTGTCGAAACGCGTGCCACTTTAGCCGCGTCTCAAAATACGCGCGAGTCATCGGTTCCATGAAAAATCACAGTCGCTGACTGGGTCGGTCCGATTTACTCGAGCAAGGTCTGCGCTCCGCGAAGAAACACACGCAAACATGCAAACCCGTCGTCGTTATGCAACGCTTACGTGCGCGTTCGTATATTCGCATCAAATTCGTCATGGGTCGGTCGCGATCGTGCATCGTGCGCAGTCATATGATCGTGAGAACCTACCTGGATGAACACGGTAAAGTAGATAACGGCGATAGTGGTAGTGACGAACATGGGCTGCAGAGGCACGTGTCTTGGATCTATAAGAAGCACCAAGGCGAATGCTACGGCGCCGCGTAGACCGCCATAGGACATGACGAATTTCTCCACCTTGTCCAATTTGTGCAGCCGGAACTGATTCGCCAGCGCGGTCAGCACTATCACGCCTGGAACATGAGTCCGAGGGGGATATTACAGCTGTACTATCCTCTTTAAAAAACGTGTTCCCAACGAGAAATCACAGATAAATTATAGACATTGAATTGACGTCAAAATTATATCGATGCCGATTCGACGCCAATTCAATAAGTCATTTTTCAGTGGGTAGCACTGATACCGTACAGTGTCTCACGATAAAAAGAATTTTCGAGAAATTCGTATTTCTAATTGAATTATCGTATATGCATCAGTTTTTTTTCTCACTTTTTTCATTCGTAATTGAAAGCGTTATATAAAAATGTTCGGTTGTGTAAAAATCTGTTACAATCTTGTTACACAATTCTGATTGATTTATTTAATTACGAGCGATTGTCAATTGTCTATTATGAAGGCGTGAAACATTGAGCGCATCGACGTAATGTCTAATGGAATGCGTGGCGTTTCATATAGGCTTGCTCATATCTTTCCACACTTTCCACACGGACGCGAGTGACAAATTGTCCGATTAGAAACCATAAGTGAAGCGCGTCGTTCACGAGTTACGTAAGATGCTCGTGTAGGTATATAAAAGTCAATTGTCTCAAGTCCCATTATGATTTCATCATTTAACCATATCACTTTACACGCTATTCCGTTCGTCGGCGAAGCGATGCCCTCAACGCCCATCAAGCTGAACCGGTCAAGGCCCGTGCAATCATGTAAGAATTCTTTGACACGAATTCGCTATTAGCACGCTACTTTTTCTCATTTCCCAGTTTTCCCTCCCTCTTTTAGGAATATTCTTCTAAAGTTTTCCACGCCAGCAGTTTTTGTACAGACTATATATTTTCTTTTATTAGCTATAATTCGGATGAGATCAAAGTTAAAATTCTCTAGATTGTATTTTTAAAGCTGAGTTGTATGCGAATTTGAATCTCTTAAAGAAAGAACACGTTGCGACTGAAATATCTACTGACAATGAGTAATCCCTCGTGTGTCTCGTAACAGCTGTTCAAAGAACGCCAAACGGTAGGTATATAGGTGAAATCCTTCTCTGACCTCCCCAATCGAATAAAATTAGAAAATCTGGCTTACCCACGGCCCGATAAACGGAGCAGAAGACTATCGTCATGACAACGAACCACGTGTTCCAGTTGTGAGCATTGTTCACTGTGGCGACGCCGAGAAACATGAATATAATAGTCTCCGAACTACTTGACAGCATCTTCATTGTATACTTGACGGTCGTGTGAGACTTGTGCGATATATTGGCCTCAACGTAATTCTTCATCGTAATACCACAGAAGGTTATTCTGGAATAAAGGGATCGCGCGAATTACAGAACAAGCAGCGTAGTAATCTGCATCGCTATTTCGACAAAGTTAAAGCTTGCGAACTGAGAATCTTGTTTGTAAACGCGATAATGAACGTAACTACGGCGGGAATTAAGCCGTCGTATACTGTTAGAACTCTATTCGGCATTGATCCATCTAATTCCTTCGCGGCAGATTCTTGGCGTTTATTTCAGTTCCTTATAATTTCTGCAGTAGGATCGCGGTGCAACAAGTTGTTGTAACTTATTCTTGATATTGATACCGCGGGTGTCGCGTTCATCGATATTTAATAATCAAGGTTAATAGAGATGAGTGCTGTGTATCTCTCAATTTTTCGAGATTTAACCATTACATTTGTTGGAACGCGTTTTAGAGATGCCAACGCGCGAAAAGTCGATGATTTACTTACGCCAATATGCCGGACAAGTGGAAGATCTCTGCGCTGAGGTATGCCAAGTACGCCATCACGAAGATGAATATCGGCTCGATCACGCGCACCTGATGAGTAAACCTGGTCACGAAGCCAGTAGCGAAACCCCAAACTATACCTATGACCGTACCACCGATCGCCACCACCAAAAACGAGGCTAGGCCCGACAGCACATCCGTGTAAATGATCCTAGAAGGGCCCATCTCGCTGTACGTCTCGAACATGTGATAGAGCACCTGCGTATTTGGATTAAATGGCCTTTTACTTGGTCGTAACCCCTGACACTTTACTTTCCGCTCGCCTCGCCTCGCCTCGCAACAACACGAAACTAATAAGCGACGGATCGTTAAAGGCTCAACTCTTTTCGCATTACCATTCTTAGCCATTTTTTTCAGACGGTTTAACGACATTTATAAATACGACATGTATAGAGTGCAGGGATACTGATCTATTTGCAGAGATATTCAGACTCTTGCGACCTGTGCTATACAGATAAAATTAGAACGGAATGAATATCTGGAAACGCCGCACTTTGCGATGTTATATTTTTCTTTACTAAGCAACCAGATATATTTTGAAAGTTAATTGTGCATGCGAATGATATTAATAACTGTCGAGGCGCCAGTGTCGGCTACACGTTTATTAAAGTCGTCGCAACACAGTGATATATGTATACAAAACGTGGTTAGATTATATCGTTTTGTTTTATTCAAAAGTATTACAGACATGTAGTTCGCGAACAAATATAACGTTAATTTTTAAGCAAGGCGAAGGTATTTGATACTTGCGGCTCGCGCTTATGGACAATGTGATCAATGTTATATCGATCGATCGTTCGCCCGACGAGTGCTTGTCGTTTGGCGGTGTCATGTGCAAGCTTTGCTATATTCCATCTTCGTTTATTTATCAGATATTCTAAAATATGACATGCGAGGGTGAGAGACAGGATATTAATCTACGTCAACTTCAGGGTCAATTCTGAGCGGATGCGAAAAGAGCAACGAGACCGATAACATATTATACATAAAATAATTGCGGTAATAATTATGGCGCATAAAAAGGTTGTACACTGTAGGAAAATTTTTACATTTAGCATATTTTGCGTGTCTTAAACGGTCCACCTTTTTATATTAATTTAATACAAAATGGATGTGTTAGAAAGTAAACATAACAAATATAGTTATGTAAAAGATTAACACAAAAAACATAACACTGACATAATTTATGAGCAATGATTGGTTGTTCCATTAAAATTAATCTTTGTAATACGTTAAATTAATATACTTCAATCAATTTAACATTTATAATATGTTAAATTAACATTTTGTTTATTTATCTTAAATTTTACATTAAAAAAACATTTTTATATTATTTATTCACTTACTCATAAATTGTTACTATACTAAAATATATTGAAAAAAATATCAATTTTTCATAAAATGTTTTTGTCGTATACTTATTGTTATCTTTCATTGGCATCATATTCTGATATTTCGCGGTTATTAATATAAAATATAATATAGTTGAGAAATATTTTTCTAAAGAATGTACATCTATTTTTGTCTTTATAAGTTGTTCATTTACTCACACAGTGTTAAATTCTTCAAAAACTTTTAATAATCTCATTAAAGATACGTTTGTTCTTAATATCATATAGTGTTTATAAAAATTCACTTGATGCATCTTTATGTACTTAATGATTATTTTCAAAAAAAAAAAAAAAGAAGATATAATCATGTATTTTATTTTTTCTTCTTATGCTTATCTATCAAATGCGTGCAAATATCTCGTATTCGTAAACTGAATGATTAGGACTGATCGGCTTTAATCTTCGCGTCTCTACGTATCGAAGACCTTTAATAGTTTGTAACAAAAGGACAGAGATTTCTGTAGCACAATGTGCTACCTACGCAACAAACTCCTTGACGTGCAGCATCATGTAATGTAAATAATGTAATACTTACGACAGTGACCGCGTCGTTCAATAAACTCTCTCCGAACACGACGATGTAGAGTATCTCGTTCACATGTATCTCCTCGAAGACGGCCAGCACGGCTACGGGATCGACAGCACTGATCAACGCCGAGAATAGGAACATATCGAGGATAGGCGTCTCGCAACCGAATATACCGCTTTTCCCCAACAGCCATAGTGACACACCTAAAGTGCAAATAGCGTTTTAATTATGGTGATGCGCGATCCAATATCTAATACATAATTTTTTCGCTCTTGTAATTTGCCTAATTATTACGAATATCGTTTGTTAATCTGCTTTAAATACATCTGAATAAATCGTCAATTTATCGAGATTATTATTATCCTATCGATCCCTAAAGTCACTGAACGTTGAACCGCGAGAAGAGAGAGAAAGAAAGATTAATGCCTCCAAAGATAGAAATTTGCATTATCGAATACCGACATTCCACCCACGTATTATATTCGTATTTCGAATCAAGTACTTGCATTCTTTTGATTGCAACCTTTCGAAAGAAATCCTCTTAATGCTAAACTCTTTGAAGGTTCTCGACAATAATAGTGTCAGTTTTTAATCTATTCTGATAGGACATTAATTAACACCGTATCATAATTTCACGTTATCGATCGCTGCCGTTGTTGTGCTTACCGTGTCGTTTCTTACTTGGAAGTTACGTGTAATACGGTTCTAGAAAAGAGCTTTCATTTCGGTCACGAGTTTCTTGAGAGATTAATTCAATTAATCAGACATCGTTAGATCTAATCACGGTAATTACGGTAGACGTTCGTAAACGAAAATAATTAAATTTTAATGTAACGTTCTCGCGTCTCATACTTTTATTTTATTTCACATCATTTTTAAAAGTTACCTTCACCACTTATTCGCAAATATTTGCGTCTCTTGAAGAAATTCAAGTTTGCGTGTTTTTGCAATTTATTCACAAATATTTACCTCTTGAAGGAATTCGTGTATTTTTCTACATATATTCGCTTGTGTATTAATCAAAATTATATTAAATTTTGACATTGACAGAATTTTGATGCCAAAAAATCAAAACTACGGATAGTCACAGCCGTATCGTTCTACATTTCTTTTCCAAAAGTATTATTAGATAAGTACTGAATAAACAAAAATTTGGTTCAAAATTTGTAAAATAATTTAAAATGTAATATAGAAAAGATCACAAGAGACAGATATAAAGATGTTAGAAAAGACATTATTAGTAACATTCTGTTTATTAAGAGGAATAAGAAAGTGCTTTTTACATTTATTTTGTATCTCACAAATGCTTATACAATGATTATACCTATGAAACGCTTTATAGTGCTATTAACTTTGGCACACAGTCTTGAAGTCTTTTACGATAAGAAGTAACCGCCTGAAAATATGACACTGACAGCTCTTTATGTGGTCATCAATCCTAATCAATAATCCGCGCCTGTCGTTTATGCTCGACGTATCTATCTTAACCCATTACGTTATATTTTAATGTGATTTTATCGAGCATTAAATAACTTGGACTTTGTCAAATGTCGTGTCGGTTTCGTTCTTTTTCCCTTTTCGTCATAACGATAATTTCGCATGAAATCTGTGTGGTTATCGTGGAGTCACGATCGAATCGCGCGTTATCATTGCGTTGATAGCGAATGATAGCATCGAGATGACAATTGCCACATATGCTCTGCAGATCATTGTCGTCGTCATCGTCGTCGTCGTCGTCGTCGTCGTCATCGTTGTCATTATCGTCATCGTCGTCATCGTCGCTTGCCCCGCGCATCCGCTTCGACGTGCACGCTATTTTCGTTCTCAAGCCGCGCATTTTCTCTACGTTTTCAAGATGAACATCTGCGTTTACGCTAGATCGTGAACAGACCGTGAGCAAAAGTGAAGAATGGAAATTCCACCGTCTGCGGGGGATAGTCGGAGTGTTTTATTTATGTACGCTTCTCTCTTTATACATATGTATAATGTACGCAACCAACTTGTTTAACCTCCTTATTACACTTTCAAAGTTTTAATTAATTTTTTTTTTAGAATTTTTTTTATCTACGTGCATTGGAACAGATTGTTTAGCAGGTTGCAAATTAGACTTAAAATATATTTTTCTCCTTTGCGGCAATTAATTTTTTATAAATTTTAGAATTTTAGAATTAAAAGACTAAAGTATTATATAATATTTAAACAATATAGTTTCATTATCGAGCATTAAAAAATATAAAAAACTATATTTCGATTTTATCGTTGACTATATTTAGAATTTCTCAAAATATGAATATGAAAAAATATAAAAGATTGCTACGCGAACAGCTAATGTTCTATGTGTTGTAAAGCATCACTTTTTGATGCGGTGCCCAACAGATGTTAGCAGCTTAATGCAGTTGTATCAAGTATATATTATATATGAGGAGAAATCCTTTATAAACTGTTTTATTTATTTTTCTAAATATAATATCGTCTCCGAAAAAAAATAATTTTGAATTATTACTGAAGACGAGATAGTTAAATTTTCATTTTAGATCGCGCAATACTATAGTAATATATCACAACTTTAGTTTTCTGATTTTTCTGATATAGACATCGTTATAAGTTAACGTTATATTTGACTTCGTGACATTTTACGCTCGAAATCACTCGGAGGATCTAACTCACAGTGATGCTTCTTGATCCCGAGGGTAGATAAGTATGCACATTTTTATATAATCGGAATCGGTTTGCGTGGGCAAGACGAAGACAAAGTCCAATCGGTGCGGTGCGCGTTGAGGGAAAAAAATAATACCCAAATCGAAAAATGGGTCCTAACGCCGCCGGTCGACCGTGCCAGCGGGTGTTGTCGCGTGTTGTCGCCGTTTTACCAACCTATCGACATCGTGTTAAATATAGTTCCAACGACAGCGAACAGAAGTATCGTCCCGAGATGGTCGAAGAAGAGCCGATTGGGCATGAAGTAACCAGCGTCCAGGATGATGGGCGGCAGCATGTACAGGAAGAACGTGTCGGGTGTCAGTGGCGAAATGTGGACGCTACTCGCCTGGAACAGCAGCAGGCCGACGATCACGCCGACGGCGATCAGCAAGCAGGACTCCGGGAAGATCTTGTTGAGCTTCGGCGCCATGTGGAAGCCTGGACGTCATCAATCGTCATGTTAAATCATTAATCGTCAGTTCAACTATCAAGGTTCAACTATAACAGAACATCTGGTCACGAGTAATTTTATCAAAATCCTACTAGAGAGAAAGGTATATATGTACTTCTTCCTTGTACGCATACTATCACACTGTAACTTATACTATCTCACATTTTTACCACATTTTTTGCTACTTACTTCGCTCCGTTAAATCTATAAGATGCAGTAACTCTCTTCTGATATGTCTGGTATTGAAATATCAAAAGCTTATACTTAGTGTACAAATATTATAGTTTTAAATATATAGACAATAGAGCGCGCGTGCTATGTGTTTCGTAAATCGCAGGTATCTAGATCCATTGTTAGATAATATATGTATAACATTGCAATTCACTTCATCAGAGCAAGGAGCAGCTTGATATAAGTGAACAGTATCAGACTACTCCTTGCCTCGATGAAGTGAACTGCAATATTCACGAAACGTTGGCATTCTAACAATGGATCTGGATCCACGGTAATGACCCGTTAAACGCATAGCTCATTTATAGGAAGTATGAGCCGTGAGAGCCTCAAAATTAACATAAAGGATAATCAAAGTGTATATTTGCCTTAGTCATTATTTGTAAATTAAATTTTTTAATTATACAAAGGTAGTGTTCGTAAAAATAAATTTTTCATTTGAATTAACTTAACCCATGTATACCAAACTAGATTAAGATTATGTAGAGTGAGTGACACAGTATACATATATGTATATATACACAAGGAGAAAATATACATATGTATTTTTCTAATAAGATTTTGACAAAATTGCTTGTGGTCAGACTTTGTTGTAAGGTCTCTAAGGAGGCCGTTCTAATCTTTGCAATTCTGATTCCGAATTCAGTCCCGACCGAGCGCAGAGAAACGTGAGACAATCCGCACACAGTCTGCAGCGTCGGAAGTCAGAATCACCGAAATTACAATCGGCCTCAATCGGGAAATTAACCGTGACGGAACATATGGCATTCTGCGACAGCGAAGATTCCAACGGAGTGTGCACGACAGGTGCAACCTGTCTACGCATTTCTTCACGCCCGACACGTGGTATCTCCCGCTCTCGGTGGGTTCCATTGGCGCGTGTCGTGCTGTATCGCGTACGATGTATCCGTTTAAAAACGTGTCCATGATATTCTATGTATCTTGTTCGATATTCTCCATGGAATCTTCACCTCGCTTGTAGATAACTCGTAATGCGATGAATGAGCCGCTGAACGTATTTGTGTAACCAGATATTTTCGAATTCGAAACAAAAGACAAGTTTATGTTAAGAGGATAGGAAAAATATATAGGATGAAAAGATAAATACGATAATAGCAATCTATTTTTAAAAAGTAGTACACTGGAATCTCGTAATAGCGAACCTCGAAATAACAAAAATCTCTTCCATATGAGTGGTGAGTGTATGTGTGTGAGTAACGGTAAAACCGAGACCCCAATACAACCCTGAATTTTATGATTTATAAGAAAATCTCACGAAGTGTTAAATTTAGATTTTAATAAAACTTTGTATACGTATATAGCTGTTACGTAAATAGCTGAATTTAGAAAATATCAGTAGCGGGGTAAATAAACGGTTTTAAAAGATAAAATCACCCTTTATACATGTATGTATAATAATTTTAGCCCCTTTCGTTATATTTCAAAAATTACTGCAGAATATAAAAAGTCTAACACAAAGGTTTTATAATAAAATTATTTTTATTTATCTACGTCAATAATATTAAAAAAAATGATTTTGAAAGTATGAATTTAAAAAAATTATCTTTTATAAAAATATTGGTATAAAAATTTCATTGAAAAATATTATTGATATAAAAGTTACATTGAAATCAGAATTTGACACTTAGCGAGGTTCCCTTGTTAAAAGTGAAGTGAGGACCTCGTTATTACATTCAGAATCCCGCATCGCGTGCTATTACGAGATTCCAGTGTACAGTTATTCGTATTTTGAAATATTTGACAGGATTGTCCTGTCGAAAACAGGATGTCTGGTTACATTATACAGGTCACAATAGATTATTATCAATCGAAACATGCGCAACAGTATTTAACAAAATCTACTATTTTATTGATCTCCTATGATATAACATTCTTTTTGCCAGACGTAAATTTATTTTATGCCCCGCCAAGATATTTGCGAGACTGACGTATGTGAATTTTATGTAGGCAGGTGTATTTTATTCTTGCCCGTTCGTTCACTTTCGTGACTTTTACCACCGCTGTCAGGTGAACAGAAATATCAGCGGCACAGTTTGTTTCTTCAACCACCACGTCTCACCGCGTGCTTGCGTATCCACACGTGCGTGCAACGCGAATGAAATTGCACGGAGAGAGAAAAATTGCGCGTCCATCGAGTTTTGTAGTGCTCGAACGGGTATCCGCAGTAAATGGAATGCTAACGTTCGAGTTCATTCGGCGCTTATCGTGCGCCGCGCACACAAAAATGAGTCTATGTGCATCGTGAAATACTATATCGTAAGATAAGTACTACACTCTTTGAGTGCTGCAGCATTTTTATGCATCTTGAAATGCAAAATCGTGGCTTTTCTGCCGCGCAAGCAATTTTTTTAAGCTTACACACCAATGTATTATATACGTATTAAAATTATTTATATATCAAATAAAAATTCGTATTTTAACAAACTATGACATGTTATTTATTCCCTCAATTTCCATAAAATAAGTAACAAGTCATAGATTGTTAAGACACGAATTTTTATTCCGATATTTTCGGTACTATAACAGCTCTTTTGTCCGTATCCGCCCACGTATTATTCATTCGTGAGAAATTATTAAAAACAAATTTCATCGTAATGAAAAAGGGTAATGAGCCTTGCATAACGTAACGAATATTGCAGCCAGCTTTCAATGACATTTGCCAGGTTTTGTTACGTAAGCAAATGAAAAAATATACGTACGCTAATGTATTCATCGAAAAGCGTCACTATCGTGAAAATTGATGCAGCTTGATGTGTGTACAGGCGGATAACAAAATTGCGACAGATGTTTTCGGTTATAACAATAGAGGCAGAGTGTGTTCACAACATGACAATTTTCAAATAACATGTTGTCTATCGTAATATTTGAAATGATCATATTACCTACATTGTATTGTTTAACTGTTTTCAATTTTGTCGAGCATGTTATTACAAGTTAAATTGGTTAATTATACGTATAATAGATATGGCATAAAAGATATTTTCAGAATCTTTTGTCTTTTAAAAACCTTTATATTATTCTCTCTTCATTAAGAAACAGATGTCAAATTAAATTTATATCGAGATATAACACTCGTGTATTTGACTTGGTTGAATTTTTTTTATACTTGTGAAAAATAGATATGAGTCTTATAAAGGATGACTCTTAAGAATACATCGGTAAATATTCATTTGCTACATTATCGATGCAACATCTCGGAAGAAGAGCCATGAGAGATATTTGCTTACTTGAACGAATATCGTTTTATTTAAGAGCATACTTGATTTATTGCAAATGTTTATTGCACGTGTCGTATCTATCTGTCATTTTCTACACAATAAGTTCATTCTTAAACACTGCAAAGAGAGACTATGTTGTTTACGTTAAATGATACGCTCCAGAGAAGCTGAGATCTCACGCCTACATGTATCCTCTCTCTTGAAGACAACGACAGGAAGAGGAAAGAAAAAAAAAAAAGAATAAATTAGGATCGGCTTTCGATATAGTTACTTACCGATTTTTGCGATGCTGGCGAAGAAGATCCAAATCCCGATGAGAAAGGGCGTTTCGACGCGCGTGAATTCGACGCTGACGATGCGATATTCTGGTTTCGGCGAATGTTCGTTGCCGCTCGAGGAGGAGTCGCCGACCGCGACGTCGTCGCCGGAGCGCGCCGAGGCGAGCTGCGATTCCTTAGGGATATTCCGTTGTTCGGCATCGTCGCTGCTGGCCGACGAGAGACTACGCAGGGTGGCATCGTTTGGCAGGGCCGAGCGGACCACCGGGCCCATGGGCCCGAAGCCCAGGCCCGGGTAAGCACCGTACGGATCGCCGTGGAAGTCGCCGGCGTCGATCTGCGGTCCGTGCGACGCGGGATTCTTCTCCACCGGGATCCGCTCCGCGGATCCCAGCTCGTGGAAAGGCGCGAAGTTGGCGCGGCCGCATCCCGGACAGCACAGAACCACGACGAGGAGCGCGGGGATGATCATCGGGGCGAGGCGACCCATGGCGCATCCGACGCGACGCGACGACGACGACGACGACGACGACGATGCTCCTGCCGTGGACGATCCGCGCCGTCGTTCGCGCTCGTCTGTCGCCGGTGAGTCACTACTTTTACTCGTTGTACCATCAGAAGAGAACCGCCACTACGACGAGCACGCTCGCACGTGCTGCGGGGCTCCCCGCGATCGACTCCCCTACTTTAATCCCTGTGTAGCAGCGGCAGGGGCGGTTTATTCGATGGCACGCTACCCTCCGTCTCTCTCTATAACGTGATCGTCGATCCCATGGGTCAGCAGCGCACATCGATTTACGATGACAGAGCAATTTCGGAAGTCTTCTGATCAGAGAGAACGTTCTTTCGATGATAATTCTCTATAATTTTCTTCTTGTAGTTTCGCGTATTCGAGAGCTAAAGTAGCTTCGATGTTCATCTTCGTAATGACATCGTACAATTGTACAGTAACATCCTCGAGAAAAACAAAGTCAAATCGTTTCAACGTGGACGCCGACCGGTTTGGTGCGAGAACTGGATGGACCCGGTTCCAAATCCGGTATAATCCGGCTACTGTACGATCCGAAATGAAGGATAACAAGTGTCGCGGGAATAAATCGCTAAAACGTCAAACCAATAATTAAGCGTGTGACTCATACCGCTTTGGCGTCAAGACGTGGCGCGCTACAATGATGACAGCTGCTGCTGCTGGAGAGGCCCATGTCCCTCGTGTGTGAAACTGTACCGAAAGATGCGCTGTCGGAATATCTTCCCGCTAGAAATCCTCGCACTCGGTACGGGGGATCGAATGAAAACACAGCTGTATCCCAGGATAGGAGAGAGCCAGGGTCGGAGCAGTTCGGAGTAGGAAATTGGATCGCTCTCTCACAGCCGCCAGTGGTTTAGCCCATGCAAATAGAAAAGCTCTATGCAACCGCACGAGGGAACGACTCTATAAGCTTTCGTGCGATTCGCTTTGTACTTTTAAGATCGCACACGACGCGCGTCCCTTAACGCGGCGACGACCGAAGCGATGACGGGTGCGTCGCTTCGTTGCTCGTCGCGCGACGCTGCTCGTCTTACGCGCCGCTCGCGAATACCGCGACGCTCTCTCTCAAGTCTTTACAGAGTCACCCGGCGGTGAGCGCGAGGTCTGGTCGACGCGCGGCCGCGGCGACCCGTGGACGACGACGACGTGGTGGAGGGACAGGAAACGCGACGATGATAACGGACGCGCCGCATTATAAAATACGGGCGGGCGACTCATCGAAGTGGACGTATACGTCGCACCTTCGCCGGCGTGCCTCTATCGACCGACGGCGACGGCGTCGGAACGACCGACACGGCAGCACTGCACGGCCGCGTACTAACGCGCACTGTACCGTCGTCGTCGTCGTCGACGGTGGCGGCGACGGTAACGACGCCGATAACGCCGAGCAACGGGAAGGAGATGCCAAAAATGTGCGTAGGCGTCGTCGGCACTGCCCTCGTCGTCGGCGACGGTAATGGATGTACGTTAGATCTCTGCTGTCCCTTTTTCTCTCCTTCATCTATCTCCGTCCGTTCTCCGTCATCCCTCGCCGCTTCCCACCATGACGGAAGCTTCCAGCCAGCTGATCGTTGATGAGGCCCGCGCAGGCGTCGGGACGCTCCGATATAACCTAGCTACTACCCTCGGTCGGCAGCGGCGCGGGCGCGTCGAGAGGCAGGCACATCGTTGCACATTTCGTTACGCCGATGAGCCGTTCCTGCGGAAGTTCTCCCGCCAGAAATACTCCCGCTCGACGTTATTACGTGGTTGGTTTGCGGTCGAGCTTTATTCAGATATCGTACGTCGCGTTGCTGTCCCGTGAGGGTTCTCGGTATAACATCTTTAACGTGTGCCACTTCGTGGGAGGGTATTTCTTTACACGAGCGAGTACTCGCGGCTGGTAATTTTCATGAGCGCGCGGCGGGCGGCGTCTCGACGTCTCGGCGACAACCGCGCGAAGCCCTCACTGACGCCTGGCCGATCTTAAATCGGAGAGACGCGTCAGTCGCGTCATTCGCCGGGTCTCGGAGAGGCCTTGACCTTGCTCAACGGACGGATCCGCTCGATGCCGCGCGGATTCGCGCAGCCGGTTCGCCAGATTTCGGTATGCGCGAAAGATCGTCCGCGGCGCCGGTGACACGTGTATCTCAATCGTGGGGGTATTATTCAGAATTATCGCAGCGCAGCGATGCGAATGAGATGCAGACAGTGGAAGTATACCGTTTTCCTCCTCCGTCATTATCGCGACGTCGACACAGCGAATTTCTAATCGGGTCGCGCGCTTTTTGTCGCAACGCAACGCGGTATAGGCAACACACATATTCGTGTGACGTGCACGGCGGGAAATGCGGTTAGATAAGGATTTATTGCGGCCTACTTGCATAATAAAAAATTATCAGGACGCCGTAGTAGCTTCTGCCTGACAAATGATTCTCGCAAGGCCGATTCTGCTGTTTGCAGAACGATAGAGAGGCGCGCACGATCGCCTGTTCGTCGCTTAACCCTCGCTACTTTAATTCTCACGCTTATCTCGTGCCCCGTACGATACCTCTCGACAACCGCCCTGTGTTTATCAAGATCCATTCTAGCGACTTACGGAAGCCCTTTGGCGCCGTACATTGTCGCGTGGTGACTGCAAATCCACCCGGACATAAAAATCGTTGACCTGAGCGCTGCATTTGCAAATACCGGCGTGTATTTAAAGTACCGAACCCATACAGTACAAAGCATTCCAGCAACATTGCAGCAATTTTGTAATGGCTGTGTACATTCCGTGTTTCTTTTTCTAACTATTGCACAGAAAGAATGGTTTAGCTGGAATCTTAATATATTTAGCTAGATACAAATTTGAAAATAATCTTGTTACGGGCTATAAAAATAATTGTAAGGACACAAGCATGCGGATGAGTAATGTTGCAAAGAAAGTTTTACGTTCCAGCAACTAGCTTAGCGTTATACAATTATTTTGACAGTTTAACAAAATTATTTTCAGATTTTTATGTAGATAAGTTTTTGGATTCTTCAGCAAAACTATTCTTTTCACGTAAAAGTTTTTTCGCTGAGATATGGAGGAGACTATTTCTCTAGATCTAAAAGTCTAAAAATATAATCCAATGAGCGCGAAGAAAACTTTCAACAATTGCAAAATAAACATTCTACTGAATACGACCAATATTACTGCAATATTACTGGAACGTTTACAATGTTACTGCAACATTATTAGATTAATATTTCATCGTCGTATAACAAGTCTTTTAAGTGTATCGATTGGCTACAACAGTAATACGAAACCCGCGGATTCCTTTTTCGCCAATTTATTTTCTGTGGCTCCTCGCCGGATCATAGTCTAAAATATAAAATTATATTTTCTATTTTATGAAACTATTCATGGAATAACATTGCGAATAATTTAATAGTGTTTTATGTAAAATATATTTAAAAAATATAAATCTCTAAGAATTTATATATATATATATATTTCTTAAATAAATGATATGTTTGTAAAATATTCGATTTTTATAAATTATCTTGATTTTTTATTTCCTTATTAATGAGATAAAATTCATAGTTAATTTAGTCTACGTGTAGTACACTGAAAGAAAAGATTGGGTGAATATGGCATAGCATTTTTAATTGATTGCAACAGCTAATTTTTGATTGCGTTAGCCTACCGAAATCCTGTATTGACATTGCGGATAAATTAAAGCAACCAAAAATTGATTGCTGCGACCAAAAATTGGCTGCTGTAGCCAATTAAAAATGTTATGCCACATTTTACGATCTTATTTACTGTAATATCCAATATTTTTTTTTCAGTGTAGTTACTTTTACACAATCATAGACCAAAATTAATAACTAGAATAAATAGATGAAAAAATTATACCTTAATCAATAAAAAATTACCTTCAAAATTTTGTCTACATCTGAAAATGGCCTGCAAAAAAAGATTATGCATCACTGAGTTACGAGATAATTTTTGGAGACTCTAGAAATTTATTCTGTGCCTAATCAAAACATTTGAAAAATTGTCGTATATGAAACATTATAGAATATTCATTGCTCTATGGAGAGGTGGATCGTCTTTTCTTTCTCATAACGACTAATTAATCTACCTGTCTTAAAAATCACAATGCCCATCTGATTGGGGTGCATAATCGAAAATGTGTCGACGAATCTGCTGCTTCGTTGGATCAATAAAAGGAGTCACAGACACAGAGTTTGACCAGACCAAGATTAAATTAGTAACGCTGTTATTTGTATACGCCAGCATACGGGGAATTGCTTCTTTGCACAATGATAAGGCACGATTAGCGGCGAAATGATAAGAAACGATCCGCTCCTTTATGTGGAATTTTGTGCGCGATGAGGTAGTCTGCGGTGCACATAGTTTGATTTAGGGCATCACATTATCGCGCTACCCAATGGGGCAATTGCAGTGAGACGATAAAAGTGATGTAAATCGCTTGAAAGAAAAAATTACTCCATCTCTCTATTCTGACGTGCGGCGTTTCGTCGCTTCCACCATTGATAAATTAAAGATTTAAGATAAATTAGGTCGATTTCTCCTTTCATAAATATTTCATGCCATTTCACGTGCGAGACCATTATTTCTCACAAATTTCTACCGACCAAATCTCTTTATATCCACTTGGCGTTAACTACAAATAAGATTTCATATTTCATTTCATTTGTCAGAACGTCATACATTTTGCACGTATACCCTTCTGTGATTTGACCTCTTCATCAAATTTTCATTATAAAGAGATCATTCTCATATTCATCGCAGAATTTATTATTAACAAAAGCAGAAGCAAAATAGCGGGAGAACGTACATATATCTACTGTTTCCTTTCTGTTTTTCTGCCTCGCCATCTATCCACTTTGTCCCTCGTTGATTTGCCGTTCATGTCTAGCGGTTATCGATTTTTCGTTACGCCACGCGCAACCTTGGATTGTCGCGTTTTTCGACTTCGTACCGA